ATATATTCTTTCCTTCCCAGCGTAAGTGACCATTTCTGTGAGAAGAAGAATAGTATAGTGGTTAAAATCTGGACTCTCAAGTCAGACAGACTCGGAGTTGAATCTCATTTTGGTCGCTTTTTAAGTTTTATGACCTTGGAATATGTAATCTCTCTTTCTTTATTTGCAAAATAAGAGTAACAACAAAACCAACCTCATAAGATTGTGGTAATAACTGAATGTGACGATAAACGTAAAGTGCTTAGTTTAGCACCGAGCATGTAGTGTCAGCAGTTAGGATGACTATTACCAGACTCTCCTTCAAGGGTGGGCTGAAAGAGTTCCTAATTACTTGATGTGAGCAAAGTCTTTATATTAGTTATCTATGGCTGGGTAACAAATTGCCTCAAAACTCTAATGGTCTCACAGCGTTTCTGAGGGTCGAGAATCTGGAAGCAGTTGAATTGGGTAGTTCTCGAGCCATGGGACCTCTCAAACTGTAAGGGCCTCCTGAAAATTTCAGTCACGCTGTTGGTTGGAGCTGTAGTCATCTGAAGGCTTGTTCGGGTCTGCAGGATCAATTTTCAGTGTCCCTCAGATGGCTGTTGGGAGAAGGCAGTAGTTCTTTACCATGCATGCCTTTCTGTAGAGCTGCTCACAACATGGCAGCTGACTTTTCCCAGAGCAAGTGATCAAACAAAGAAAGCAAGTTTGACCAACACAGGAGCCACAGTGTCTTTTATAGCTTGATATCAAAAGTGACATAGCATAACTTGTGCCATATTCTGCTGGTTACACAGACCAACTCTGGTACAGTGTGAGACAAGTCCAGTGTGGTACAAGTCCACTAGAGTGCAGGAGGCAGTGGTCACTGGGGGCCGTAACAGAGGCTGGCCACCATGGCCTTTACACAGTTTTCCTGAGTCGTGCCACAGATGCGCTTAATTTTTTTTTTTTTTTCTTTAATTTTAGATTAGAGCCAGGAGGCTTTGAAATGATTATAGTGGTTTATAATCTACCAGCAAATGAAAGGCATCTGAGCATCAAGATAAATGTCTGAGTGGGGTCTGCTAGCCACTTGGAAAGCATGTGGCTCCACATGCCTAAGAAATCCACAGCTGACTTTAGTAAAACCTCAACTATTAAATATTCCAGCTCTGCACTTTCACAAAGTGCAAAGGACAGAAGCTGTCTCTCTATATTAACAAGTAAAAATGGTTAGTGGAAAAGGCACGGTTTACAAATCTGTATTTATGATTGGGGTCTGGCTGAAAAACAGCAAGAATAAACCATACAATCTGAGAAGTCTAATTCTAGCAGGAAGTTGCTTTGAAATAACATCATACTTCACTCACTCCCCAACCGATGTCTTTGATGACCAGTTTGGACACATTAATAAAATGTCCTGTCATTTACTATATTTTATTTTCTTGCAGCGTTTCCCGCTGTTTGGTGGTAACACTAACAGTGCCTGTTCTTACAGAAGAATCCACACTCTGATTTAGATTTGCCAAGTGGATTGCTTTTGGCTAAATTTCTTGCCCAAACACAAGTCCTATGGCTTGAGAAGTCCTATTAAAAGATCCCTAAAGAAAAATACGCAGCTTTTACTGGCTTGGATTTGTAGGTCCAAAATTTAGAAGAAAGCAGCTGGTTAATATTAAACATTTTGAAGTACTTGTCTTTCAGAAATACGGAGAACAATAGCAAGAAAAGCCCTTTGATGGCTCAGAATTTATTTTATTTTATGTACTTATTAATTGGTATACTTTCTCCCCTATTTTAACCAAATATTCTGTACATTGAAACAATAAAATAAGTAAAGACATGTGTCTGCTTTAAAATTTCGATATTGCTTAAGTCTCCGTAGTTCTTTTTCATGCTTTCTGGGTAAAGGCTCTTTCTGTTCTCTCAGCCAGGCAGCACTTTGATCTCAGAAGCAATGCCATTTGGTTGTAAATGTATGTGGCTCCTTTGATCTGGTACTTAGCTGGTCTTATTTAAAGTAGATAGTTTCTTTTATCTAAGTAGTGTTTACTAGGTCTCTCCCTGTGAAAGATGATATAAATTGATATTATTTAGATAGAAAGTTAAAGTTTCCTAAAAGTACCTAGATCTGAATCTAATTCTCTAAATTCTAAAACCCCAATGTCTCTATTACAGATTTTATAAAGCAAATTCCTATTAAAATGAGCTGCTCCTATAGATGTCAGGTAATACTTGCAAAAACTCTGTTTGCTTTTTAATGAGAAACTGGTTTTCCGAAGTATAATAAACATATTCTACATTCAGGCAAAAGTGGTAATCTCAGAATTTTGAACTTAATGGCCAATTATCCCTCTGAAATTCAGGTATTAATATATTTTTATATTACTGGGTTAGGCATACTATACAGGGTATATTGAAATGGGACTTTTTAAAAATAATAAGTACATAGCTTTAATTTTCCTCTTAAGAGGATTTCTTGAGCATTTTATCAGGTGCATTAGTGACTTGCGTTTGAATTTCCTAGGCTGCATTCAGTTATTCATTCAACAAAACATATTGCAGGTGCAGAGACAGAAAAATGACTGAGTCACAGACTCTGCCCTTAGCTTGCTCACGGCCCGGGGTCTGGGGGGCAAAGCACTAGCAAACAATTACATGGCAGTGTGCCTCTCATGGACAGTGGTCCTCTCAGCTTGGCCTTGGGAGTGATCAGGAAAGGCTTCCTGGAAGAGGTGGCACCCACGCCCAGTGAAATACTGCTGACTCAGAATTTAGTGTCCAAAGCAGCTGGTTAATATTCCACAATGCAAAGCCAAGTCCACAATGCAAAGCAAACGTATCTGCCCAGACACCCCCTTTTTTCCCCCAGTTTAATACAGGTAGCCTAAACCTTGAGAGAGGTCTAAACCTTAACTGGCTTTGCTGCTTTCTGAAGTTATCCCAAAGCCTTCTTGGTCATCATTCAACACTAGGGAGAAAAACCCCAAACTACTTTTCACTTACATCTTAGACCTTTAGCTCAGTTCTTTATTTGCAGGGGATATTGGAAATATCTTTGTGCTGCAAGTTAAAATAACTGCTTTTAATCGTTCTGTTTTGTTACGCTCCTGACATTTTATTTCCAGTCCTCCTTGGTATCATGTTTCTACCATTTCAGAAGTCTTGTCATTACTTCGTCCGTGGACTAACCATGTATGAGCACTATCAGGCATTCTGGAGGATGCTCAAGAGGAATATAAGGGGCCTTTCCCAGACCTGGAGGTTGGGAGAGGGGCGGGAAGAAGTAAGCTGTAGTCAAGTATAGGATTATTACAATAGCAGTCACGACTGTTCTAGGAGGGAGGTTGCAGAAGGGGAATCAGAGGGGCCTGGGGCTTGACCTCAGGAGACTCATTCTGGGTTTGTGGAGATGAAGAGGCAAGATTGGCTTCCAGAGGACACAAGAGCATGGATTTGGAGTGTTCTTAGGACCGTGCAGGAATGGTTAGCACTGGGCAGGTGAGGTAGGGGCAGGATGTGCTGAAAGAAAACTGGAGGGATTTGGCTTTTGCCCACCCAGTGGTGCTAACAAGCCACCGAGACTGAGGAACTGTCCAGTGAAATGGGATCTTTGGTACTTTCCCTGTTCTTTCACTTCAGTCACCAAGTACTACTGATTCTGAGAATCATGCATTTTAGGTAAGTAGAAGCCTTGAAGATCAGAGAGCCTCACCTCCCATTTGTCCAGCTCCAAAGTTCAGGCAGCCCAGGTCTTGCAGTCAGCGGCTGAGCCAGGGGTTTTGGCAGCCCTGCTGACCAGGACCTGGGCCTGGGCTTCTCTTCCTAGGGCTTGTTTCCCTCTAGGAGTTCTGGAGTAGAGCCTAGGACCCTAGAGAGTTCACAGGAGCTGTGGAAGAGAGATGCCATCACAGTCTGGGGTCCTCCAACAGGAGTGGACTCCAGGGACAGTGTAGTTCTCATAGGGCTTCATCCCTACTTATCTGGGCTGCTGAGATCCATGCCAAGCCAGAACTTGAATAAGAGGAGTTGTTGTTTATAAGAAAAGAGACAAAAGAGGACAGAAAAGAATCAGGATACAATGAGCAGAGCTGTGTGAGCCATGAGAAAGCCAGGCTAGGAGGATTGGTAGCAATGTTACATTTGGGATAAATGACTTTTTTTTTTTTTTTTTATGAGTTACTAATCATAGGCCTCCTGTGGCCCCTAACTTCAGAAAAGACAAATGGAGCATGTGTCACCCAAACTGCACAGACTGACAGCAAGATGGAAGGGTCCTCAAGAAAATTAGGAAATTGTTATTAGAAGGAAGGTGAGGGATAAATGCTGGAAAAGCAAAAACAACAGATATTGACAGCATTCCTCTCATTCTAACCTGGAGGTACAAAAGTATAGGAGTAGAATATTCTCATGGAGGGTTACATGTGCAAGGCATTCTCACTGCTTTATATTAACTAATATAGTTTGAGCCTGTCCTCAAACCTGTGACACAGGGACTACTATTATTCTCATTTACAGAGGAGGGAATTGAGTCACAGAAAGACTAACGCCCAAGATCTTTCAGCTGGCACGTGCCAGAGCTGGCATCTGAAGCCACGCACTCTGACTCCAGAAGCTGTGTTCTTGAATTATTGTGTTAAATGTATCTCCCACTTTCCTCCTTTCATTACATTGTTTTCTTCTGAAATAAGGATCTGAGGAAGGCCCTGATAATGAATGTAATCACCTAGCACACAAGAGTAGCCATTATTACTTTTGTTACTGTTTATTAACAGAGTATGCAAAACCTCTGGTGCATAGTAGACATTCAATGACTATGAAATAAAACGAAAAGCATTTGAAGAACAACCAGGACATTCACATGTGATCTAGAGCTGAAAGAAAATCTACATGATCATCGGGGGATTAGCAATGGATATAAAAGAATAGATACAGACAGTAAATGTATGAATAGAAAGGCCTGGAGACCCATTGAGGCAGGGACAAAATGGTGAGATGGTAAATCCTTTAATGACTCCTCTCCTTCCCTTCTCAAGTACTGCTTAAGTAGAGCTGAGGCCAGACGGGATGCAGCTAAAGTGGCCCTAATCAACTCCCTTTTCAATGAGCTGCCCTCTCGCAGGATCACCAAGGAATTCATTATGGAGAGTGTGCAGGAAGCGGTAGCTTCCACCAGCGTGAGTACCCACCAGGGAAGGGAGGGGCTGGCTGCACTCAGAATACTGAGGCATTTGAATCTTGGGAGATGCAAAGTGAGCACATTCTTTAAGAATTGTGCAGGTTTAATTTTTACCCATTAAATCATTAATTTTCGGCAAAAATAGCACTTGGATTGGAAATCACAAAATTGGAGCTGACTCTCTATTCCTCATCTCAGTAATATTCTTTAACTTTCCTGGATCACAATTAATCAAGTTTTAAATCAAGGTAGATAATCCGATCCACCTTGATTTGTTTATTTGAATGTTTGCTGTTTGAAGAGTATTGATTCTTTTAGGGCCTGAGAACACATGCAATTGAATACTGCTTTAATCTAGAGATAAGCTATCTTATTTTTTCCTAACCTTGACTGATCTTAAAAATTTTCTCAAGTGTTTATTAAAAGTGCCAGTTTCCCAGCTAGCGTGGGTGCTGCAATCTTTTTTTAAGAAAACCCTGACTGCTTAAATATGGGAAAAGCCATATGCCCAATACCTGTTAACTATTATAAGTATTATGCTTAATATCAATTACTTCTTTCAGGGAGCTTTGAAAATTTTTGTAATGGACATACTTAAATGTAAAGTGCTTTAAGAGCAAAAAATTTGGCTTGGAAACTAAGATAGGATTTTTCTCGGCAGTCCAGGGGTAGATGATTTGCCCCAAGAATTATGTATAGCTCCTGATCCTTGTTATCTCCAAACTATCAACTGGGGAGGAAGCCTTGGGTCCCCACTGTAGCAGGTGTCTCTCTGTGGGTCCTCCAACGGCAGGAACTTGGCATTATTGGAGGGTTTCATCAACGCCTGGCTTGCCTTTAGCATGGATAAACCCCATCTGACATTTTCATTCTCTGATTCCCTTAATCTAAAAGTTCTGTCATTCTAGAGAAGCCACGGATAATGAAGGAGACATTATCACACTAGCAGTTACCTTTTTGCTCTTTTTCCTGTCATAAATGTTCTTATCATGCAGAAGAGAGTTAGGGGAAAGGTTAGAGAGTGGTTGACCTGGCTTGGAGACGTCAGGGACCTCTGTTCTATATCTGCTCTGAGGATGAAAGATAACTGCTTTCCTATTCTATAAATTTTGAGTGCCTTTGAGAAAGAGAACTTAGGAAAATGATGCCTGGTTTCTACGTATGGCATTTACTCAGGAGCAGGGAGGGAGCCTTAGTGTAAATGTAATTTATCATTTTTTTATGAAAATTTCTAAGGAAAAAGAATATATAAGATTTGCAGGCTTCTGGGTGGATTTCCTCTGGGATATTTAAAAGCCAACATAAATATTTCAGCAGCAGTGTGTTAATGTTATTGCATTTAAAAGCTATAAATTTGCTGCTATCTGACTGGTAGTTGTATGTTCAGTATCACAAAGCCATTGCCAACTTTCCCAGGAATCTAAGGCCATGGGATGTTGAAGGGCAGGCCCCAGTCCCATTCTAGAGCTTGTGTTAGCTTTTTTACTGCCAGTCTCCCTAAACAAATTAAAGGAGAATCTCATTTCTACCCATCACCCATCCACCTTGTTTGCTAAAGGTTAACTGGTTCAGAAGTGAAAAAATATAAACCAAGATCCGTGTCTCCAATCCAAACACCAGCATATTATGAAAAGTTCCCATTAGGAATCATAGCAGCAGAATATGAATGGTCCATACAGCTGGAGAATTCTTTCCCTGTCAGTTACATCATCCTGCCTGGTTATCATCAGAATCAGAGCAAGGTTGTCATTCCAAAATTTCAATAACACATGAAAGCATCCTCAAAAGGCAACTATTCTGACATTAATGCCACCACAACAAAAACCTTGTGCAAGGGTACAGGAATTTCTACTTTGGGATAATTATTCTTTCAATGAGTATATATAATCAGTTAACATTCTAATCAAAAGCCAGATTCAAATTGATCACAAAACCTCTTTACTCTGAGTCATGGTGAGGTTAAAGGTTTTATCCCAAATCAAATGGAGACTGACTTGGTTGTAGAATGCACATCGGAAGGGTTAGGGCAATAATAGAAAGACATCTGTGGGACCACAGTGTTTATTTGTGACCACCCAAAGAAGAGGAGCGAAAACCATAATATTTTCCTTTTTTGCTTCCTTCTCTAGGGCACTTTGGATGATGCGGACGATCCCAGCACCAGCATCGGAGCCTACCACTACATGTTGGAGTCAAATATGGGGAAGACCATGCTGGAATTTCAGGTACCTGACTTCTTGCCACTTGTGTATTTTGCTACACAATTCAGATGCCTAGGAGAATGACACTCTTATCATTAACATCTGTCCCCAAAATCTACTTTTTGTTTGTTTGTTTTGGTCATTTAATCTAACCCTCTTAGAATCCAGCATGATAGCTCCATCTTAGCCACACTTCAGTAGGCTAAAATAAACAAGCAAACAAGGCACAATCTTTGCTTTCTTAAAGGGAAGTGACAGACTTAAGTCTAAGAAACAGGGAACACCACTGTCTTATTACTATAATTTTCCACCAGCTTTTCAGTATAAATTTTCCCCTTAAACCAAATTAAACAGTGAAGTGTTGGTTGTGACCATTTAGCAGGCTACGACCCTTTTTTCATTCACTGCAGACAAGCAATAATAGAGCTGAGGAACTATATTATCTATTTCTAAACTAAATAATTATATCAATAATAAGAAGAACAATAATAGCTGATGTTTATTGGATGCTTACTTCTTCTGGCACTGTGCTAAGTATTTAACAAATATTATCATAATTTAACCCTCACAATGAACATCTGAGTATTTATTATTCCCATGTCATCACTGAAGGAAGTATGCCATATAACCTAGCAAATGGCAGAGCCACAGTTCAGACCTGGGCAATCTGATTTTTGAGCTCATGCTCTTAACTGTTATCCTACACTGGCCTCGGCAGATGAAAATTCAGTAGTAATTAGTTATAAAATCTTAGCCATATAATAAACTAAATTTGAATGCAGTTGAACATCTATATACATGCAGTGCTAGTAGAAATCCATATGCAATGTTATAATGAATAGACTTACCCCTAATATTTCTATTTTTTTAGGTTAGATTTCAAGAAGCAATCAGAGGTATAAAGTTTTATTTACAAAACTATGCATCACAAAACAATTTACAATGGTGTTAGAACTGAGCCTTGAAGTCACCAACTTTCAAATACCTCCTTTGGTACCTTTCAAACTCTTTTCCTGACTTCAATGACATAGCCACTTCTCAGGTAGATATGTCCCTCCTGCCCATTTTTTAAAATAATATTTTTCCTCCTCAGTCCCTTGTTTGATTGAGGCAAAAATATTCTTTCTTCACCCTGTCCCAGGAAGATCTCAGTCATCCAGTTTTCTCTTTAATTGGCAATGGTCTCACTGACTTTGATGTTGCTTGTCTGGTTTGGAAGAGACCAGGTATCCTTAAAGCGTTCCCTCCGGAGATGGCAGGGACATGCATCAGCTCAGCGGTTCTGGGCCCAGGCTTTGGAGTGGGCCGGTCCCTTTCTGCATGGCTCTTCTCCTCACTACTAAATCTGTTTCCTCGTTTGTGTATAAATCAGGGAGAATAATAGTGGTGGCTTAACCCCACAGCACCATTGTGAGGGTTAAATGGGATAAAACAGAAAGAGTCCAGGACAGTTTCTGGCATGTGGTAAATGCTCAGTGAAGGTTAACTGTTATTATATGTATTTCTGAAAAAAGACTGCTTTACCTATAATGCCTGAGGCTACTGGATGAATTCCCTTGACAACATTATCTAACTAAAGGTTTCAGATGAGGACAGGGTAGCTCCCTGCACTAAACATTTCAGGGCCCTTGCTGTAGAACAAAAAGGTGAAACTTATAAAAGGGTCCTTTCCCCCCCATAACAATCTAAAGTCAAACAGATAAAAAATAAATAAATAAAAGGAGGAACATAACACAAGAGGAAGAACACAAACTTTTAAAAATCATACAGACCTGTGTGTGAAGCCTGCTCTACCACTTGCCACCTGTGAACTTAATCATTCTGAGACTCATTGTTTCCATTTATAAAATAAAAATCGTAATGCCTATTGTGTAGGAATTTTGTGGGACTCTCATAATATGTTTATAAAGCATCTAGCATAGTGATTTCCCCAAAGAACCTCATTTTTTAAGATTTCTCCCCTCTCAACCCTGACAAAAGAATATTATACTTCTTTTATTATAAAACGAATGTTGCCTGCCCCACTACATAGTAGCTTGTATGTGATTTAGTAGCGATTTTCAGAAAATCAAGAATAATTTTTTTAAGGCAATTGGGTTAGTCTGCCAAAGAAGGGGAAGGCAAGATTTTTTTAAAAATCTTAAAATTCCATCTCAGTACTATGAAAGGCTGTACTTACTAATACTTTAATTGTGTTAATATGGGCTGTATGTTTTCTGTGTGGTCTATGTAATAAGGTATTTAAATATGTGAAATAATAATTTAAATCATACTATGGAAATGCTTCATAAATTCTTATAGAGGAGGCTGGATGAAGGATGGGGGACAAAGGAAGAGGAAGATGTGAGGGCAGGAAAAATCCAAACTCCTTCACCCCAGTAGAGATGCTGGCAGTCTAGGAGGAGAGCCTTGGAGCACATCCCTTTTCCTTTTGCCAGCTTTAGTTTGCCTATGGAGTCCAGGGTCTACCACATTTTTGGGTGGCCTGGATTAAATGCATCAGCTAGTTTCTGCACATAATGGGAATTGACCACAGATCTTGTCTGTTTGCAGCTGACAGCAATTCAGTACCTACCCCTAGTGGATAATAGATGTATGTTTGTATCTATGGGTGCCTATAACATATAAAAACAAGACTGGTGTCTCCTGACTGCAGGCAGGCTTTCCAGGGGGGCCCTCAAGGAGTCAGAGCTCAGAGGAAACATGATAGGCTTCTGCTTACCTTCACTTCGTGGGAGGGAAGCCTGTTTTGAGGTAGCCTTGCCTTAGAGAAAACTGCTTGATGTTTGGGGGGAGGGATAGTGACAGCACTAGCCACTGGGTCTTGTCAAGGTCATATTCAAGGCACTTTGACTGAAGCTGGTTAATATATTTATTCTGAAGCCTAATGCAATCTAAGGACGAGTTGTTTATTTACATCTTTGCTAAATTCTCCAGGTCGCCTTTTAAAACCTCATCTCATAAACAGATTTCCTTTTAAATCCATTCTCTTGGGTGGGGAGATGGTGCCCACCTGTTTTTCAAGTTCTCCATTTACAGTGTTTGTTTTTCTTATTTCTGATGAATCACAGAACCAAGCCACTTTCCCAGACATAGTTCCAGAGAAAAGCAGTGTGCATTTTCTCCCTACAAAGTAGCTGAAAGGCCAAACATTGTTTCTAGTAGGAGGCAACACCAAGAAGCACTGTGAGGACAGAGCCCAGTTATTGGTTTAAACTGAACGAATGAACCAAGAAAGCTGTGGAATGAAAGCTGCAACTGCAATTTTCTCTGATGAGAAAGAAAACCCAGGGCTTGATTTTCCATTTGATTTTAAATTACTTGCTATCAGAACTAGCTACATAATTTGTGGGGGCCATTGCAAAATGAAAATGCAGAGCTTTTTGTTAAGAAATCACTAAGAATTTCGACAGTGGAACATTAAATCAAGCTCGGGGTCCTGTGTGACTGCACAGATGACAAGCTCATGAAACTGGCCTTGTCTCTGAGACAGGTTCATAAGAAGGGCCCAGACTAGGGTAAGGAGTATTAGGCATTCACCTCAGGTACAAAATTGAAAGGACTGTCAAAAAACTCAGTGATCAAAATAAATAATATTATAATACAATATTGTAAAAACTCAAAATTAATATGTAAATTTTCATGACAAACAAAATATCAAAATTTTAAATAAGGGCAGAATTTTAAATGAAACCCTGAATGTGCATGACTCACCTTAGACTTTGTTTCACTCATGTCACCGTAGTCCTAACTCAACCTATAGGCCAGCTTCTTGTTTATCTTTCAGTGTACCCAGACTCCCCAGGCTTCTAGATCAACTCACATAACAAACAACACAGCACAAAGACTCCAGTGAGGAGCAGGACAGATAGCTCATTTAACGGACTTCCTTTAATGTAACGAGACTTCGACAGGTAGAAAACAAGACTAGAAAGACAGGCAGCAAGGAATCATGATGAAACCAAGAAGTGCATCCTTACCGAAGTCCACAGAAGCCCTCTCCTTGCCAGTCTGCAGTAATGCAAGGATCTCCGATGGACTCAGTGGATTTCCTGGGGTTGAGACTAAGGTTCATACAGTTTGGGAAGATCTGAAGTTGGTGAATTTGGTCTTATGAAGGGAATTAAAGAGGTGGGACAGGAAGAATGTGGAAATATTTCAATATATTTTATATGATGATGGTAAGATTACTATCTTTACAGAGGAGAGCAAGAACTAGCTCAGGACATAATGGAAGAAAGCAGAAAGAAGGCCATCTTCCCTGGGGGATTTTAGGAACAAGAATAATACTCAGAAGAGGTCATTGTGTTACTATAGAAGACAGTGCTTGGTGATGGAATAGAAGTTTAGATAAACCAGCGCGAGCGAGGATGATGACCCTCCTTCGTCAGGCTAACACAGTCCAAGTCTCTGTGGGGAAGCTTTTGAGAGATGTAGTTTGCCAAGGGACATGAGAAAGATTTCTGGTTCTGTTCACCGCAGAATTGTGGGTTCTAAAGTCTAGGGGAATTGCTGGATAGAATGACAGGTGTTTACCTGGAGAAGAGGTTTTATGTATAGATGAGAATGAGAGCCTAGAAGTCCTTGGAGGAAGAATATGTTACTGAGGCAACAGTTGTCAGAGGATGGAATTCAGAGCCCTGTTAGCAGTAAGCTGTTTCCCAAACTGGGCCACAAGTGTGTAAGGACAATGCCAAGGGGGCTATTGGAAGCACAGAATAAATTCAGTATAGCTTCTGGGTTGTCAGCTTTACATGAAGATTTGGTGGGGGAGGGGGGGTAGGTGGAGGAGTGGAAGTGGTATTTTTTTTTAATAGATATATACAATAGGATACAAAATTCAAGCAGAGTTAAGAAACGAAAGTAAATATCCAATTTGTAAATATTGGCCTTCCTGTAACACAAGAGACTGTTTCGTATCAGGACATAAAGAGTGTTCTTATTCATTTTTATGGCTGCAAAGTATTCAGTGAGTAGGCTTGAAGGTAAGGTGAGAAGGGCAGCACAAAATTCCCCTCCTCTGTCACTTGGGTTTCTTAGATAGGCAGAGTGGTGAGAGCCAGATTAGGCAAGATTTAGTTATAGAACAAACCGCTCTCACTTTTCCAAATTAACATAGTGATGTGACAGAACAAAAATCTAGATGGGGAGATGTGACGGAGAGCAGGCATGAGAGGGGTGGAGTCCCTGGCCACTGGACCCAGGACCCTAGGCAGATGGTGGGGTCTCTGTTTGCGGCAAGAGTAATTCAGCTGGTTTCCACGTTGTATTTAATTAATGGAAACAGATGGTTTTGCTTTTACCGAGGTCTCTGTGGCCTCTTGGGGGTGCTTACTGTGTAGTTGAACATAGACAAAATCCCAAACTGGATCCTAAACTAAAATGAAAAACATTACTTTTTAATGGGAATTTTCAACATGAGAATAGTGCTATTTTCTCTTCTGATCATCTTATAGCTTTAAAATTCACCTAATAATTTTAAGATGTCTAAAATATCAGAATAACTTTGTGTCTCCTGATTTTCATAATGAAAACTTTTTCCTGAGCAAGCAGAGGTAGAGACAAGAAAAGTCATCTTTTTAAATGGGCAGTAAGACAATTGTCTAAATGTAAGGTTTTCATAAATAGTTTCATGACCAGGAAGTTCCCTAATTGTATTGTTATTTTCTAATAATTATATGGTTGCGGTTCATGTTATTAATCCACAATAAATGTCTCTCTGACCAAAAAAGAAAAAAAGAAAGAAAAAAAGAAATGCAGATAACTTCAATGGAAGACTGCTAATTCTAATCACATTAGAAAAATGAAATCTTCAGTATATTGATACACTTTAGCTGGCCCTTGATATCAGGCAGGGAGAGGGTGATGCAGATAGAAAGCCTTAAGGCTATGCTCAGCCCTAACCATTGGATGTGGAAACTATGGGTGGGTTTTAATATCAATTTAACCTTATTGTATATAATTTAAGGCATTTTCTTGACTGAATTTATAAATTGAGAAGTATTTTATGATTTTTATAGTTTTCCCATTATGTTTTATATTTATTTGGGGCCTAAATTTTTAAAAATTTAAAAATTTTTCTTTAATATGGAAAATTATCACATGATTTAAAACTCAGAAGGTGCAAAAGAATGTCAGAGGAGGGTCTCCCTCCCACTCCTGTCCCCAAGGCCTTCTTTTTCTCTCTCCAGGGGCAACTAATGTTATCCAATTCTTTTGTGTCTTGCCAGAACTCTTCTAGGCATTTACAAGCAAACATTTATAGGGAGTGTCTATTTTTTTTTTTAAATCAAATAGTAGCAGACGGTATTCATGTTGTGCACTTTGCTTTTATTTTATTTTAACAACACATCACAGAGATTCTTTATAGTAGAACCTAGAGAACTTTCTCATCCTTTCTTTATGACAGCAACGTATTCAGTTGTATAAATGTATTGTAGGGAAGGAAAAGTAATTTTCCCTCTACCCTTCTGGTTCTTAGCTGAGATCCCTGTAATAAGAGACAGATTAAGAAGAGAAAAACCTAAGTTTACCCACATGTATACTTAATGTATACATGAGAGATACCTAGAGAAGAATGAGTTAACTCCTAAGGTGGCTTAGAATTCAGAATTAAATACCATTTTAATAGGGAAAAGGGAGGAGGGATGTCAGCCTCTTAGGAGAGAATAAATGATTTTAAGGGAAGATGAATGGGAAATATGATCATTTGTGACAAAGTTTGCCTGGGTATGGTATGGATTTCCAGTTTCTTCTTCTATGATGAGTCAATCATTGCTGGTTGATGAAATTCCCCAGGAGGGGACTTATGACAATTGAGTTCCTTTTGGAGGACCTGTCTTCAGACAGATAAGAGGGGTTCCAAGAAAGCCTCTACCCGCATTTGCCATTTTTCAAGTGCTTCCAGCTCAAAGTAATCAATATACCAAAGTGGCATATTTTGGGGTGGCATGTCCTAAACTCGTATTTTGGTGTGGCATATTCTGCTGCCTTTCATTTAACCATTCCTTTAAATATGAACATTTAAAATATTGTCACTCTCAGACAGTTTCAAAAATAATGCAATGTATTGCCTAAACATTATTCTGAAATACACTGGTATATTTAGATAACGACTTGGGTGTAGAATTGTTAGGGCATATCTATATTTAATGTTGAAAGATTTATCAATTATATAGTCATTTAGTGTGCAAAGATGGCTACAGCAGAGGAGGAAAGGAAGAATGCTCCAGAAACCTGGGACTCTGGTGTTTGAAAAGTCTCAAAGTTTTCTGACAATATCGTATATTCTATTTCCCTGATATAGTTGAAGATCAGAGTTATGCCCTGCTCAGCTATCACTGAGGCACTTTCTTTGAGACTAATGACAGATATTTAGTTGTTTTTTTTTTTTTTAGGAGCTGATGACCATTTTCCAACTCTTACACTGGAATGGAAGCCTAAAAGCTCTTCGTGAAACAAAGTGTTCGCGACAGGTGAGATTTCCAATCTGGAATGTGTTTGTGTTGTGTGGAATGAGCAGATGGCTTGTCATCTTCTGAAGAAATTTTCTTTACTTGGATTTTTTTTTTTTTAAATTTGGTACTGTATTTATTGAGTAAGAGCAGAGAACACACACAAAAAAATATGTATAACCGTCCAATTGAGTCAGGGACTGACCAAATATGCACACTAAGAAGAATGTTGGCTGGGCAGAGTACTGATTTAGATTCTTGTACTGAATGCCAAAATGGAGGGATCATGAAGACAGACTTTGTAAGGCAAATGCTGAATATATTCTATGCTTAGAATCTGTGCCCTCCTCCACTATCCAATGTGGAAAGAAACTTGAGAATGCACTGCTTGAGAACCTCTTCACTGAGGGAGCTAAAGCTAGTTATAGTGGGAGGATTCTTCTCACTCCTACCAAAAGTCCCCAAAGGACAACAGAAGTGATCATAAAGGTGGGCAAGCTGACATTCAGTCACCCCAATTTGGGAGGTTGGAATTTTCTTCCTTATTTTTCAGAGACAGGGTCTCACTATCTCTTTGCTACCTATGAGAAGCACCCTTCCCCTTTTTTAATGGCAAAGGCAAACCCCCTTCTGTGTATGTAATGGTTTTCACCTGTCCTCCAATATTTATCCTTCTTTTACCCACTATTAGACTTTGAAAGATGGTAGTTTATTTTTGAGAATTTGCTAACAGGAATTTGAATGAGGAACAAAGCCTCTTTTAGTCAGCAAGATGAAGGTGAATGTAAGAGTTTTCCATGCACTGCAGCCCCAGGAGTTTCTAGTTGGTCTTTGCTTAAAAAGTCTGGCTTTCAAAATGTCAAAGATGGAAAAGAAATGGGTAGCTGACAATGGCTTTGGTTATTTTTTCTTTTCCTTTGATTTTATAAAAGGCCTTTGAAATATGCCGGGTTGGTTATAAACACTGGTCCATGATTGTTTTTAATTTGTTAAGGTCATAAATAAATACCGTATGTTCTTGAAAATAAAAACAAGCAATGCATCTACTTCATAAGATCTTCTTAAAGTGTCTCCATCAAACCTACACATGATGTTACAATGTACTGGCAATTTTTCAGATGAGAATTGACAGACAGTGACTAATTTTTAATTATTTGCAGAAGAGACAATGTACATGAAGCTACCATTATGATATCAATAATAATGCCTATATTTCATAATAAATTTTTTAAGTTCTTCCTGTAGTTTCTGCGAGCCATTTGGACTGTCATATTTCTTATGTTAACAACACATTTTCTAGTGGGTCAGAGTTCTGTTTTGTGAACATTTTTGAGTCTTCCTGGTATTAGTGTTTTGACTCAACCTGGAGTGACTTTGCTTTGCTATACCAGCATAACCCTTCATATCCTTTAAGAAGTATGTTATGGGATTTGACTTAAATTTGTGAACATCAGAAAGGCTCATGTGTAGGTAAAACTCCCATAGATATGGGGGTGGCAGAGGCAAAGGAAACGATGTGTTGGAAATGCCACAGGTGCCTTTGTTGCTCTTCACTGACACTCTGGGCTTTGTTTCTTGGCTCCCAGGAAGTCATCTCCTACTATTCCCAGTATTCCCTAGATGAAAAGATGCGCAGCCACATGGCCCTGGACTGGATTATGAAGGAACGGGAGTTTCCAGGAATTCTCTCTCAAGAGCTACGAATGGCCCTGAGGGAGTTGGAAGAAGCCAGGAAAGCAGGACAAGAACTACGATTTTACAAAGAGAAGAAAGAAATCCTGAGTTTAGCCCTGACTCAGATCTATAGCGATCCTGACCCTTCCTCACCCAGTGATGATCAGCTCAGTCTCACGGCCCTTTGTGGTTATCACTAGCAAGGCCAGGTTCCAACTATCCCTGGGAACAGCAGAGGCCAGATTCTAACATTAGAAAGCTCTTTAAAGGAAGTCTTTGGAGGCTTTAGCACCTATCTAGCTAATTAATACCTGAAGGCTATACTAACTCTCCCCACCCGTTCCATTCATAGAATCTGAGAGTAGTAGGACCCTTACGGGATCCAATATCCCACTCGATGTAGTTTTCCCATCATGCTCTCAATAGAATAAAAGGATGGAGACAGAATGATCTGAAAAATATTTTCCAGGCCTGGCTTCAACCTAATGCCCAGTTGACATGTGCCTTGCTAGATTATGTGTGTTGTTGGAAAGAATGGATCAGTGTAGCATCTCTCAGAAGAACATCAGCCAGGACTGCGGAAAGTAGCATGATAGCAAACTTTTAAAAAATACTTGGGATTAAATAAACAATATAGATTGTTGTTGAAAATATCCAAGGGTCAGCGTTTCTTCTTAAGCTTTTTAACCTAGGAGATAACTTATACTCTACTAGCCATAATCCAGACAATAATGGGAATTTTATCTGGACATCTCATTATCAAATATCTTGAATTGGTAATAGTATGAAAATACTAGAAAAATTTAATGTGGCTTAAAATGCTCTTGTGATAATAATTTTTTTTTTTAAATCCACACTCTTCCATATGGGGATAAATGTCACCTACAATAGAACCCTCAAATTCTTCAGGAAGATTTAATATCCAATTTTTATGAGTCCTGCAGTCAGTCAGTCTTATTCATTGATATCTATTTGCAAATAGATATAGTTACTGGTATTGTAAAGGTTAAAACATTTTGAAAAATCATTAGCATTTAGCAGTGCTTGCATTTGACTAGTTTCTCATTCATTAGTGAGAAGGAATCTTTAGCTGTCTTTTGTTGTTGTTTAAGAACATAAGCCACCAGCAGCTCAAATCAATCTCTCTTTGAACACGGCCCATGTCAAACAACTGATTAACAAACCAAAAGCAAATACACACTAATATTTAGATGGTTCCTGTTCACTCAGATTTAAGAATGGCAGCAATGACAATTTTAAACACTTATAGATATTTCCATATCTATAACATGAAAGGGATTATTCTACATTTAGTCCAATAATTCAAATTAAAGAAAACAATTGTCTCAATTTTATATAAGATTTCTTTTTCTTCTTGTTTAGGTAAATGCAAACTAAATTTCTTGAAAGCTAAAACCATTATAATTACATTAAAGTTTATGAAAATATGATACGTTAGCCTTATATATAAATATGTACAAAAGTATTTGTCACTCCTTAAATCCCCATAAAAACTACTTTGTACTGATTATATATTTTGGAATTAGCCTTAATAATAAAAAATCACCTTCGCATATTACATTTCTCATACTAGGGGAAATATTTAGCTACATAGCTGCCCTACTTTAATGTTTTGAAAAGTAATACTGTACAATATTAGATGTATTGTATTTAAAAATGTAGTTTTAACAAAAATCAAATTCCTCCTCAAAATGAGGCTAAATGTCACCTAGAAGAAATCTTTATTCCCTTATATTCCCAAAAAGGAATCAGAATTAATATTTGTAATTTCAATAAAATTTGAGGAAACTTTCTATTTAAAGAAACTTTTTTCATAAAATCATTACTCTTTATTATTTCAAAAAAGCCACAATTTCCCATGTCGAGTATAATTAAAGGTAGGACCACCATTACTGCATTTTCAGACTTTGTCAAGGACCACCTCAGGCTGACACATCTAATCAGAAGCAGGAACAGGAATCAGCTAGGAAAAATATCACATTTACTCTTTGCCCTATAATTAGAAAACTGCAATCATTCTGGAAATGGAAAATAGAAGTTCTCCCTTGGCCACTATCAGTGTTTTCTGGCTAGTCAAAACTGCCCACTCTTCCTGGAATGGCATGAAATCTACAAAAAAAGAAACAGAAGTCAGAACCTTGACCACTGCTGGTCCCTTTGATGCTCATTTATAGCAAACCAATTTGAGCTAAGACATAATGGCTCAAAACATCACATAAACACCTGTAATTCTGTCCCAGAGAAGAGCAGTGTTGAAGAGCAAAGTTGAGTATTATTATTTTTCCTTTCCTATATCTTGTTCTCAAAAACTTACTGTGTTGAAGGGGGCTAGAGTGAAGGAATCTCTATTTAAATATATGGAGCTCTGGGTCCTAACCTTCCGTGGTTATAAACCCTTTGAGAATCTAATAAAAACTATGGACTTTGTCTAGGAAAATAGAACTAAGCATATACATTTAAAATTTTACAAAGTTTCAGAGAGTATGTGAATCTCCACAAATTCCATGGATTGCTCTGTCCAAGACCGACTCCCCCCACCCACCACCCCCCGCACCCATTTTAGAACTCTTAATTTTGAGCACATGATTATAGTCTCTTAAACTTTTCACTAGGGATCTAACCTAGTTCAGACATAGCCCCACGGAACCTATTTCTAAGATAAATGTCATCATCCTTAAATACAGAATTGTACTGTATTTAGATAGGAGATGTTTAATTTTCACAAAATCCAAATACACCAGATTACTATGAAAAAAAAAAAGCTTTAAAGCAAACTGAATTTGTGTGAACGTGTCAGAATATCACAGATTTAATAAAGTCATTTTTCCTTGAGTGATCAGAATTCAGTTGTCCATTTGTTCAAAAGCTATAGCCCACTGATATATTTGCTGTTAAATTCATTCACCTATTTCTAGAAAAGAAAAAATAAGTAAAGCAATAATATTCTTAAAATACTGTACCTACATCAACTGTGAATCTGCTCAGGAAAAAAAGGAAAGAAAGCATAAAGTTTCAACATATCCCTGTTTCTTTAGGGAAAGCTTTTAGAGCCATGAGTATTGTTGTGGTTGACTTTATCTCTGAAATGCTTTAAAGAGTTCTGTTATATCATGCCTTGCCTTTCGTTCTTGCCAAAAGATGAAAGAAGCCATACTAAGACTGTTTTCAGTACCCTTGACTATGTTCACAGGTAACCACTATTTAAAATACTACCCTTAATATATTGTTGATTTTGTTTTGTTTTGTTTTGCCTTGAAGAAATGCAAATATCAAGATTTCTTCTGTGGTGTCCATCACGTTAAAAAGGTAATATTAAGATTGTTTTTAGCCAGGGCTCCAAAAAAAACAAGAGTCATTTTCCCTCCCACAGCAACTCTCAACTTTGACTGCACATTAGAAATACCTGAGGAGCTTTAAAAAAAATCCTAAATATTCATACTATACCTAAACCAGTGAAATCAGACTCTCTGGAGGTGGGCCCCAGGTACCAGTATTTTTTAAAGCTCCCCAGGTAGTTCCAAGATGCAATAAGGCGGAGAACCACTGCTCTTACGCAGGAAGTTCTGGTTCAGAGATCTATGGCTTAACTAGTGGGAGCTATGACTCACTTGCTCATGGCCCCAAATTCAAATGTTGAGCTCTTCTGAGCAAGGTAGGAGCAAATTCTTTGGCTTGGGCAAGAGATTCTCCTGGAGCCCAGAATTAAAGCAGGGCAAGTGTACACACACACACACACACACACACACCTTATTTTAGCAAGAAAGCCAGATTTCCCCAGGGGCCAGGCTTTCTTTCTCAAATATGATACATGAACTATCTGTAGCAGAATCATTTGGGGCTACTTGTTTAAAAATACAAGTCCTGGGCATACACCCCAGACCTGCGGACCAAATTCCAAGGAAGGGTCTGGATTAGTTACCACTTCACCAGGTGTTTCTGATCATACTTAAATTTTAGTTCTTTTGGCCTAAAACTACCTAACACATTCTTTTCTAGGCAACACAGCCCTGGCTTTTCTGACATAACCAGCCTCTTGTCGGGGGTCGAGCACAGAAAGGAATAAAGGTGGGAAGGGAAGGAAGGTTGCCTTTATAATCCCCCTGGAAGCTACAGAGAAACGGAAGGGGCAAAGAGATATGGCCATCATTTCTCTCCCAAAAGAGCAGCTCCCGCTCTTTTATCACTTTGGCCCCAATATCTGGAATTACTTTTATCCCTTTACAAGAAACCGTGAAAATCTCTGTTAGCTCATGGCTTAAGTCACTTTTAAACCAGACTGTAAACCCTGTTAGTACATTCTTCCTTGGAGCAAAATAGGTTGTGGGAAATGCAAGCAGAAGCTTCTTCCTGAGAGCTATTGATTCTCTAGTGATTATTGGTTCCCAAGTGAAAGTCCCAGATTGCTATCTATTTATAGGCAGTTCTCAAATTTAGTAGTAATTGTATTCCACAAGTTCATTTGTAAGTCAGTTAGTTGTTCAACCCTGGGGATGCATTTTTGTATTGGAACAAGGCCATAAGTGGTGGTAAAGTTCCAGACTAGCCTATATAGGCAATAGGGTACCTAAAGTATTGATCTTCGGGACTTCATACAGCTCTAGGTTGCAGGTGGGCAGAGGAGGGTAGAACAAGGGGCAGCTGTAGGTCTAGGGCATAGTATTGAAAGACCTCCTTGGGGCACATTTCTCAGTCTGAAACTGGTTTTCCAGGTAGTCCTCCATAGATTAGCTTGCCAGTGCCATCACTTGTTGCTTTTTCTGACCATGGTTTCTTCTACCTGCTGACTTACTGAAGAAGTAACTTTTCTTCTGCCTTTCCTACAACATTTGAAAGTTTCTAAGAGCTAGTATCACTAGAAATAGGAACATTTGTGTGACCTACAAATGGCAGCTATTAAGCCTCTCTGCAAGGTCTGTTTTCACTAGGGCCTGTGGGGAAATTCACGGGCACATGAAGCAGGCCTTGGAAGAGCTGGCCATGGAAGCTGTTCCGCTCACCCATTCCCGAAGGTTTCCTGCTTCTTTGGTGTTCTCATTTGGTTCCGCGTGGCATCACCCCATCCTGATCACAGCTGCCCCTTAGCTAGCCAGTGATTCTGATAATATGGCACAAAACTACAAACTGGACTGATCAGTCTGTCCCTCTCAAGAATGGGAACTAAGAAATCTGGAAGGAATTTGCCAGTTCAAGTAGGGAGATGAAGTGGAAAGAGTCGTGTCTATGAGAGTGTGTTTGTGCAGGCTGAAGTGAAGAGGAAGTAGGAACCATGGGTCAGCAGAGAAAGCTGGTTGGTAGTAAGAGAAGCTAATCAATACAGATGCAGAGAAAGGCTGAGGCACAAGAAGAAGGTGAAAGCATGAGGTCCATAAGGGGATGGTAAGAACTACAGGCCCAAGTATCCTGCAATAAGTTCATTTGTTCTTTATCTAAGTGGACCACACACCTTTCAACCAGAGAACTCTCACCTTACTCATTTCAGAGCAAAGTCACAATTGATCATTCTGGACTTTTCATCCTAAGAATAGACCAAAAATACTGACATAAAGAACTGAAGTGATAGCAATGCTGCTAAGAAAACTAGACTGAGGACTG